ATTCAAGAACAATCCGTACTATGAATTGAATTTTCCACTTTTATTTCTTTTTTTCTTTTCTTTACGAACCATTTTTAAACTATGAAAAGTATCCCTTCTTTCGAGTAAGGCTACAATTGTAGTTTTGGATGTCTATGTATTTTTTGATTTTCCATAAAGTCCAACCATTTTAGGCTCGATTTCAGCCGTCTCCCGGGGCCGGTCTTTGATCCTCCGCCGAATGAGTGAGGGCTCATTTTCCCGAACAGCGGCTGGTAATCGAGCCTACTTCCATTTGAGCTGAACGCCTACATTCGAAGGTAAGGCGTGTTCAACTATGTCACGATTATGGAATTTTCATCTGTTAGCTGGGTTGGAATATTAATTAAATATTCCTTTTTTACGCAACGAAGAATGCAACATTCTGAATACATAACGTAAAAAAGATCATTGACAACAAACCCGCAAAAAGAATTAGGCTCATATTTAGCCCGATACAAATTAACTGATGAATTTTCACTGCTTGAGCCGCAAAGTGCCTCTCCTTCCAAGTTCAAGTTTGAGCCAAAGGGGAGTGAAATAACTTCAAGCTGGCGAAGAGTAAGAGTCAATTACGAGCCCGGCCATCTTCTGCAATATTTGTGCTATTATTTTGTCATTCTTAAACAAAATGCGTAGGAAAGAAAAAGGCTGAACAGTTTTTTGATAATCTAGTAATAACATATTCACCTAAAGGAAATACACAGGAAAATCGCTTACCTTGTTTGCCGCCTATCAGTTTAAACGATGGCCGGCACAAACGTCTCAGTTTTCGCCAGCGCTTGAATAAACGTGCTTTTTACATGGCATATTGACAATAAATGAAGCCAATTTGCCAAGCAGGTGAAAGCTATAACACTTGATTCATACATTTGCAAATTCATTATTCAGTTCTGTTTTGCTGGCAATTTATTTCATGACATTTAACAGTTAATTTGCTCCAAACATCTAGAAAATAAAAACACCTTTCCGCTTTGTTTAAATGCGAATGAAATGGTAACTGATTTTATCTCACAGGCCCCTTTTTGGTAAAATATACACAAACTGTATGCAGGACATGAAAAAAGATAATAACATGTGTAAAACATATTTTATAACGGCAAAGTAAAAAAGACTTAATTGTCCTTATTATTCATTCAAAATATTTCCCCGATTCTGATTGGCTAAAAGCACATGTTTAATTCACCATAACCAGTTACTGATGACCAAATTTGGAAGAAATTTGACTTTAACGAGAAAACGACATCAAAGATGCAGCGTTTTCGCAGGTTAAGGCACCGTTAACCGAGAAGACCTGGAGACGAGGTTGAGTTGTTTTGGTTGTGAACTTGAAAAAATGGCGGACATTTCACTCGTTTCAAGAGTAAGAACTAGGCGAAAAAATAGCTAAAAACATGGCAAGAACAGCAAGAAGACAACTCGAGGGGCGCCATCTGCCATTTGGAGAATATTTGCGGAGCTGGACAAACCTACACGTACACTATCAAAGATAAACTGCACATCGATGGATCGATGGAGGTAAGCATGTTTTCGCTATGTTTTTAAACTAGGAATTATTTTGAATGAATAATAAAACAGTTATTGAATTCAGCTTTCGTATCATATGAAGAATTATGGAGATCTCGGAGGGTGTTATCCGCCTCGGGCCTACGGCCTCGACGGATAACACTCTCCTCGATCTCCATAATTCTTCATAAGATACTCAGCCTCATTCATTAACTGTTAATTCAAATTCAATACATCGGTGTGTCGTCATTTTCTCTATGGGGTCAATTGGTTACACTTTGAGAATTTCATTCCTTTGTCGTCAGCAAGGTTAAATCACAAAATTCCTAATTTACACACGGGACAGACAAAATCGACCAAAAAAAGTGACGCGTTTGGTCTGTTCTAGTTTCCCAATTTACTGTGGACTTTGAGACCCTACTGCAAGCGCAATAATGACCAATCAAACAAAAACAACGTGGGGAGTTTCAAATTTCCCACTTTTATAACTCGGACATGAAGAAAAATGTGTCCACGCACCTTCCGGCTGTCAGGGTTAAAGAGGCTATGCCACAGCTGTCTAGATCATGTTGTTAATAATGCCAATTACGCTTTCTTGTGCGCTATGGAAATTAACGTTCAGGAAGAAATTACTTGTAAACGACAAAATAACAGCTTCCTGTCCAACAAATATACTTGCCAAGCTATTATACAAAACGTTACAAACACCAAAAGTGAACTTTGCAAAACTATTAGGCTAACAAGTCAACTGACAAGTTTTCAAAAACTCACAATGTCTTCCCGTTTTGTCCATTCGTACCTTCTTTTGTATTTGCTGTGTTATTAATACCTTCTTTAAATGTTTTGTGCGATTATTTTTTTTTGTCAATTTGGCGGCAGTTTCTACTGTTTGAATATTGATAAAACTCGTGACACAGCTGTTTTAACTGCAAGGTGGTCGCTTCTAAAGGATGTTAATAGTTGACTCCATTAGTCTAAAACACCCACTTACACGATTGTCACTAAAACCCAGAGCATAGAAAATGGTCGCTTGAGACGATTCGAAGAGCGTCGGTAAGTCCAGTAAAAATCCTATGGATAATCCCAACCTATGAGCAAAGACAGTGACTTCTTACGTTTAACGATCTTTACGTAGACGCCGAGAAAAACGAAAAGAAAAATTTCACAGTATTTATCCCAATGGTAAACTCCCACACAGGCGTTTTTAGGGAAGCTCGTCTTTCATCCCTCCCCACAAACGCCCGTTTGTGGAGTGGGATGAAGGAATACCTAACCTTGTAGACTCTTACATTGCAGGCGCTCTTTCTGATAAATGAATGGCAACAATTTAGAAAGAGAGTACATGGCTGCTAAAGAGGGATGATCGCAATGGACTGGATTTAATGAATAAAGAAAATACGGCATAAAGACAGGGCCATTGTAGACAGCTGTGCATTGTATCTTGAGCAACTGATCTAAAGTAAAAACTGAAGACTTTACTTGTGAGCATTATCAAAATTAAAGTGTAATTCATACAATAAAAAAATATTTTTTTAATATTAAGTGAATAAATAAACATTGATTTCAATAATTTTATTATTAAGCTTTGTTATAATACAAGCAGAGAGTATGCAACTTACAAGAACAATCGTATCATGACTGGAATTTTTCGGCTGCCAAACATAAACAGTCATAGTTTAATTTAAAATTTTCAAATAACATTTCTTTAAGATTACTGATTTAACTACTGAAATAATCCCCCTTTCTTTTCTTAAGGCACAGTCCTTTACAATAACACCTTCACTTATTTACTTTGTCTTTTTTTCCATTTCTATTTGTTTTCCTTTTCTTTACCAACCATTGTTAAACTTTGAAAATATTCTCCTCTTTCGGGTAAGGCTACAACTGTAGCTTTGGATGTCTGTGTTTTTTCTTGATGTTCTATCCACTTGAGCTGAAGGTAGGCGTGTTCAACTATCACGAATATGGAGTTTTCATCTGTTAGCTGGGTTAAAATATTAACATTCCTCTACTAGGCAACGAAGCTTGCAATATTCCGCATACATAACTTAAAAACGGATCATTTACAACAAACCCGCAACTCGCCAGCAAGGCTCACATCTAGTCCGATACTTATTATCTAATAATTTTTCATTGTTCAAGCCGCAAAGTACCTCGCTTTCCAACTTGCCCTGGTCTTTTGAACTCTCTTCTAACACTGGCTGGGATGGATCTGGGGAGGGGAGAGAGGGGTGGTGGTTCAGGGATGTTGTCCAATAATTTCCGCGTAGCTTTCCTCGACTTGGCGCTTGAGTTGGTGTTCGTTACAGACAAAGATAAAGGCTCTGTGAAGCTTGGTTGCCCAAAATGAGCTAAGGAACCTTCTTCAGCATTGGCACTTGAGCAATTTTCCTGGAGGGAGATTCTGGGTAAGTAATTTTGGAGGTAGTTTGATATACCCTGATAAAAACTGGACTAGGGATATTTAATTTCCTCATTTTGATTCACTCGACGCAACAGGGTTATGAACTCGTCGAAGAGTGAGCTATAACTTTGAGGTGTTTACATTTATTCACGATCGTGAAGCCATTCGTCAAAATACAACTGCAGCCTATTTAGCCAACAAAGACCAGCTAGGGCCGTTTAACCGACAAAAATCATCTTCAAGTTACTAGCTTTACAGGCTGGAAATCCAGTCGTACATCTCAAGCTTTTGTTCTTGTACAGCACAACAAGTGTCGCGACATCAAACAACATGGCAGGCATAGCTCTATAGCATTCTGTACATGGCGACCACGGGAATCATTTTCCGCCACAGTTTTACTTCACCAAGTGAACATCCAGATTCACAACAACTTCGGCGATTTTCAACTAGTGTTTAAATTTTTTTTTAAACAACATAGGCCGTCTCTTTAGTTGTCGAGCAGTGTAAATTCCTAGAATATTGATCTTTATACAGAAGGCACGATAACACAAATGTGGCCATTTAATATGGTAGCCTGATTATGTTTTTACTAAAACGATTACTTTACTCGCGCTTATGAGCATAAAATGGTGATATTGTGCAGCGCGCCCCGTAGAATAGTATTTGTATTTAACTAAGTTCCGAACGACAACAGATTTAAAGCCTGTTACGAGCATAATGGTGAGCTTAACATGTTTTGTTGTAAAACGGTAAAAAATGTCATTTGCAAGTTACACTTTTTTTTCTGAAGTTAATATTGATAAGTTCCGATAGTGCTTTTTTTATTAATCCCCATTTTTTTTTCCCTGCTTGAACTGCTCGTTAAATGGCCTCCACTAAGACATGTCGAGGAAAGTCAGTCCATCTAATTGGGAAAAAAAGGCCCTGTATCGTAATTCAGGATTTAGGATTAACACGATTTAGGCATCGGGTCCGAAGTTCTGGCCATATTATCAACTTACTAGCACTTTTTTCATTAGAAAATCAAAGCATAAGAAAGAGAAATTTCAAAGGTAAGTTTACTGTAAAATACTTAGGAAGTGCTTACGTTTTTGTTATGATGTGACGGATTTAAGGCATCAGAGGGTTTCCTCGTCACATGGTTTGCATGCTCCATCTCGGAAGAACACATAAGTGTTGCTTCTCCATACATGCGCACGGTAGTAACTTGTACATCCGCTGATGGAGACATGCGTTGCGGGCGCAAAATAGTCGTTAACGTCCCCTGAACATTGGCCATGAAGAGATTTAAATCCTGAAACGGTCGAAGCAAAAGAGTAAATTAAGCCTAAAAGTCCCAAGAGTGACAAACATCAGATTTCTCCCGACATGTTTCATACATCATCAAGATGGTTAATTAAAGTGGAATGGTTGGGAAACCCTTTGTTACTGGTTTTTGTTAGTTTTTTTGGATCTGACCGTGCACAACGTTCAATAGCATTCCTATCATTTTTACGTTATTCACCAATAGAAACATTGTATTAATTTATTCAGTCACTTATTGTGAACTTCTAGAAAACAAAGGATTGTGCACGGTCAAGGAGCTTCCAACATAACCTACAGCACCATTGTTTTCAACTTTGATGTTTGCCGGGTTTCCTAACTAGTCTCCTCTACTAATTATGATCAAGAGAAAAGGTTATGATCAAGGAGAAAATACTTTGATCTGTTATCAAATTCTCTCAACTAGTTCTTAAAAGAAATGTATGGAGATCAGACTGGAGAATTTGCATGTGGATATTGAGGCTTAGAGGGTTAAGCTATCTCTCTCCTTAAGCAAGTTACTGAAGAAAAACATTTTAGCGGGAGGGGCGGGTAGAGATGTAGGGGGCGGCTGAACGATATGGCCTCTACAACACGTAACTAACTCAATGATTTCCTACAGCTTCTGACTGTATATTATTTTGCATTCATTCATTTTCAATTGCAGAGCATAAGTTAACGCTATGCAATGGTTAAGCCAGGCTGAAATTGATGCAGAGTGAAGTTCCACAAACTGTGGAAAATAGAAATAATGTACGAACCGGTATCTTATGCTGTAGATTGTCCAATGCAGCACGCAAGTGCGGTTCTCGTGGTTTAAAAGTTAGGCACGACAGTTCACCAAATGACAAGGACGGGCACTGAACCCGATCATCTGATCTGACGGTTAGGTTGCTGAAACAGATGAATTTGCGAGGCTTGACTAGATCGTCAACAGCCACCGCCTGTGGAAAAAAATGTACCGTGGTATAAGCGAGAAGATTCAGCATTATTTGTTCATTTATCTATTATACCTCAGACAGGAGCCTTTTTGTGTGGGAAGGATACGGTAGTGTGGTTAGGTGGGCTTAAGAGTGGCTGACTTTAATCGCCCCCCATACATAATTATGCCAAAAGAACGGTAGTTTAAAACCACTTAGTTTTTTTTTCACTTAAGGGAAGTTATATAACCATTTTCTTTTTAACATCTACGGAATTTCGAGCTCTGGCACAGCTTAAAGCTACGAAGTAAATAAAGCGAGAATCCTGATTGCAATAAAGAAATGAAAACAAACTTTAACGATTTAACTCTTTTTGCTGCATCTTTTTGGAGACAGTACCACAGGAAGAAACTGTACGTCAATACCTTGAGTCCTCCCCAGAACTTTATTGCCGCTAAATTCATCTCAGCGTCGGATATATACACGGTCTGTACACTAAAACAAAACACAAAAACAAAACCGGTAAATACTTCAAGTGGAAGTGGTGTTCATGGTCGAGTAGTTCCATTACATTTTCTCCTGGTTTGTTCTAGGTTTTTCTGTTGTGCCAAGTGTAAAACCTAAGAGTTGTCAATAGCATCCGTCCCTGTCTTTTATTATTATAATTATAATTATTATTATTATTATTATTATTATTATTTTGAATGACTCGATTCAGGAATTTTAGAAACCACGTCGGCTACAATGCAAGTGAGCATATCTGTATGCCAATTTCTGTGTTCTCTGCAGTGTGACTTTTAAACCCGATAATACACTCCTGCTCGTTTTGTAAACAGTACTTCCCGGATAATTTTACTTACATTTCTTAATGGTGTCAAATTAAATATACCACTATTTTGAAAAAAATAATGATAATGATGACGATAATGAGGACCATGATGATGGTGATGATGAAAATGACGATGACGATGATGACGAGGACGACAACGAAAATGACGACGACGGTGCTGTTGATGATGATAACATACTCTTAAAGAGATGACCAAGGACTACTTTGTATCCGCGATTGCTTGCATACCTTGAGTTGAAAAAACAGGAAAGGGGCTAAAGCAAACTTGTTCTCACCATTAAAAAAAAAAAAAAAAAAACCTTTTCGTTGACAAAACTGTCCAATCAAGCATTAGTTTGCTCCTTTAAGTTACGTTCTTTATTGGCATACAATTCGTCCGTCCGACATCAAAAGAAGCCTGAGAATGTGCGCGCCACCCCTTGGCATAATTGAAGTGAACAGCAATAATAGCTAAGTTTAACTGCACACAAGTTATAAGACTTGAAACTGAGGTTTTAGCAGACGTGAGACGCAAGTTTAAGAAGTAACAAAGAGAAAACATTGCGCTCGGCGCCATCTTAAAGAGGTAAAGAGCCTGCCTCGATCTAGTTACGTGACTGGATGAAAAAAAATATATCGGGATTTACTGTCCACAAGATTCCTGATTCGTAGCTCTCATAGCTCATTCAAAAATTTCCACTCTGGGCTGCGGATTCAAAAAGTTGAGGATTCGTATGCCGGATTAACCGGATACGTGTGGACGGAAGCCTAAAAAGTTGTAGATTAAAAAATATCCGTATACGTGTGGACGAGGCCTATGGTGAACAGGGATGGCTGGTCCCTGGTTGATTTAACCCTTTCACAGCCGAAAGTGGCCAAAGTGAAATTTCAAGAAAATTTGCAGTTTTATTTTGGTAAAATGCTGTAAAATAAAAAGCAGAATGTGAAAGTACTGGAAAAGAGGTTTCATTTGAATGGTCAAACCTCAGGGTTTCGTCCACAGATTCACAAGTCAGAACCAGTTTACGAAACTCCTTCTTTTATCCTAGCAGTGAAAGGGTTAAAGGCAAGATCAACTTAAAAAATAATAATAATAATAATAATAAAAACGGCCCGTCTGCTAGCTTGCCCAGACGAAATAAAGAGTTCATGCCTGGCGGGCGAAGTAACTAGTCGTCACAATGGCGTCAATAGGTAGTTCTTCATATCTGGTCGTCCTAGATGCAGTCAACTTGAATGAATCATACCCAATATTAGTACAGTTATATAACCGATTTTAAATCAAAATAATGCAAGAATTGATGGAATCAAACGACCGGCCACAAAGGTTCCCCGACTCCCCCTTCTAACCCTCATTCACAAAAAAACAACAACAACAACTACAATTCAGAATGACAACAAGGAAAACTAAAGAACGAAAAGTCTTAACTAACTCTACAATGCGAAGAGAGGTTTACATTCCTAATAACGGAGGCTTTAGAAAAGAAATTGAGAACGAAAATTAGCGATAGCAATGACTCCATGTCATTATTTTCAAATTCTTGTATTTTTTTAGTTCCTTGAGTTTATTATATAGGGAGTTGCGTGCGAAAGTGTAGTTGCATCTGATTAACACAGAAAAATGCAATATGAAGTGTAATACAATATGAAGTGTAAAAGGTGCTGATTACCAAAAAGAAACCTAAACTGAACACCCAATCTGACTCTTTCAAAGCAAAACTATTTGGCTGATAACTAGCACTATTTACACTTCATATTGTACATCGCTAGGTTTACATTTCAAACCAAAATAATAGTATATACAATGACGTTTTCGATTTCTACATATACAAAGTCATGTTATCAGTGCAATATCTAAAATAGACTATCAAGTTATTTTAGTCTTCGGAAAATTAGGCCAACTATGAATACTTAAGGATTTTTCTGCAGCCAAGTCTAATGTTTTTCGGCTGTCGACGTACCTGTAATTCCTGGGCACCTAGTCGACACCTGAGAAGAGAGGGTACGTGACAGTTTATGGAGTTATATAACTTATTATGAGTATACAGTTAAAGTTGAGGGTGCGCATAAAAGGCATATGTTACTTAGAAGTATAACTTGTTCGTTGTATATTCACTGTAAGGTGTCACGTACAATAATGAATACAATAGATAATGGTTTCCCCAGGTAATGGGGAGCCTTAGTAACAACGACGAATACGGCAGCCAAAACGTCACTTGTTGTTTCATTATTTGTTTATTTTATTGAAATTATTTTAATAAGACAGTAAGGAAATCTTGCTAGAGTGCTTAGGCAAGCGAAAATGTCATTTTTCTCAGTTTTAATCAGAAATAATCAAAAACTCACAAAATAGCGCGAAAAGTGAGTTTAAAAAATAGGTGGAAATGAACTTGGTGTGCAACAATAAACACTTAGCTCAGCTTCACAATAAAACAAATCGAAAGCGAACAGCTTAATGGGAAAATTACAGTGAAAAACTTGAGCTTTGTATTTTCAAGGAATTGTTTGCACTGAATTCCTACAGAATGTTTTCATTACTAATTGTACTACGTATAACACGTTTACCACTGGTTTGTTTTAATCACATTTTTTTTTATCTTTCTGGAAAAGTTTTATTTCTTATATTTTTCAAAGGCCCTTTTCCAGGGGCTTATTTTTGGAGGGGGCTGTATTCGGAGGGGCTTATCTATGGAGGGAAATTAGCGTTTCAAAATCGATTGGGCTAGCCTTATAGTTGGGCTTTGTTTTACTCTGTATTTGAGGGCAATTTCCGAGTACAAGCCCCCGGGGGGCTTATATATATATTTGGACGGGCGATTTAACGGAGGGTTTTTTGCGTTACGAGTTTGGGGGGCTTATACATGAAGGGGCTTATTTTCGGAATTTTACGGTAGATACACTTCTTAAGTCTCTGCTTAATTATCTCCAAATAACTTAGGCTTGCGTAATTTTCATAACTTAAAAAGGCCAAAACATCGACCATATACTCTGGTAAAGATTTTTTCTTAAGATACAACGAGAGGTTATATACATTTTCGTCAACTTAGGCCCGGTTCAGACGCCGATCTTTTCATGAGCCGAACCTAATTCGATTTAAGGCCGACCTGCTCTGATTCAGACGCCGATCTTAATTCCAGCCGAACTAAAACTTCGAAAGGATAAAAATTCTCATTTCGTTATAATATTTTATACGTTATAATATTTTATGCACTAGGTTCGGGCGCATCAAATGTTCGTCGTCTAAATCAAAACCGTTCCAGTGTCGCTCCAAATGCGTAATTCCCGGCCGAGCTAGGTGGAAAGAACGGCTGAGACGTTCTTAATTGATACAGACACCGAACTTTGTATGAACCTAATTCAATGTACTAGGTTAGGCTCTTGAACAGGATTCTGTCTAACAGTACACGCGAGTGACCACGAATGACCATGAGTGACCACGAGTGAGAGTTCACCAAAATATGATTTTTCTATTATAATGACATCATTATTACGTCATTTCGTCAAATTAAAACTCGTTAAGCGGAAATAAACATTTTTGGAGACTGAAAAATTAAAAAAGAACTTGGAATTTCGTTTACGTTTTCCCCAAGGGCGGGTCCAGAGAAGGTGGGACAGGAGGGAGTATAAAATAGTGTAAACCCTTTAATTCCCCTTTCTTTCCTGGCCTTTTATCGCGTTTCTGCCGGTTGCGCCATCTTGAAAATCCTGCTTTCCACGTTTAACCTCTCTCGTTACCATTCCAGAGTAAAAAAAAATCTTACTCGACAAAATGTTAAAAAAAATTGGGTCAACAAAAAGCTTTAAAGTAACTTCCCACTTGCCGCAATAAACCAGGGACCAGTTGCATACATTTTTACCTTCCACGTAAACGCTAAGCCTGATCAATCTCTTTGTTTTCAAACGTCTGAACTTACTTTTTGCAAATGGCCCCTGGTAATTAAGAGACAACTGAGCAAGAAAAGAACCGCTCACAAAGAGAGTCAATAATAATATCAATATCAAAAATCTTTAACAATATCGTTATGGCGTGTTCATCACCAAATTACATGATCTGTCATCAGCTATAAATAATAGTGAAGACAGGAAACTAACGAAACCAAACTACACTGTATCGTACCAGCCAGAGAACTATATACGACATACACATTTGCTAGAAAAATGGATCAATTTAGGTTTCTGGGAAACTACCCACCTACCCCTCCCCTAAGCCATCATTCGGCCCTAAGTGAGAAGTAAGTGTTAATGTTAGCTTATGGGAGGGGTAGGTGGGCAGTTTCCCAGAAACCTAAATTGATTCGAAAAAACAACAACAACAACAACCCGAAAAAAGCGAAAAAAAAAAAAAAAAAAAAAAGAAAAAACTGTGAAATTTGTAGTTCAGATGAAAAAAAGGGAAAGGGAAGTTTCCCTATGCAAACGATTTAGAATACTGGAACGATTTTAACATTACCCAATTGGGACGGGGCCGCTTCCCAACCCACCATGAGAAGAATAACGGTGCTCAGACATTCACCCTCTCGGCCTTTACATCCAAAAAAAAAATCCGGACTAAACTAAAATGAACGATAGTATGAGTTCATATAATCACATCACGTATCATCAGTTATTGTAATATCAAATATTAACCGTAACACTGGTTCAGATCGATCCAAACATGTGTTTTTTAAA